CGCCGCGAGCGGGGTGGATTACCGGTAGATCTTGCGTCTCGGTGCAGACGAGCCGTGTTGTACTGACGAGCGGTGTTTGCCTGACGAGCGGTGTTGTACTGACGAGCGGTGTTGTACTGACGAGCGGTGTTGTCTTGCCAGGGCGGTAGTTGCACTCAAAGTGTCAAAGCAGATTTATTGGCACGAGAGCAAGCCCTTAGCACAAAGCAATACGAGACGCAAAGCAGGTCTTGGGGAGCACTTCGAACAGACTAGTTTGTGGCGCAGTGACACCAGAGAGCTCTCTGGTGACACTGTGCGCGGGGTCCCCCCCCCCCCCTCTCTCTCTTTCTGACGTTACGGGTTTCGCGGATTGCTAGCAGGGAGCGGAAGGAAGAAGGGGTCAGACACGATTGGCTTCGCGGATTGCAATGTAGTGTGGGTACTTAGGCTAGTCTAGACTCAACGTATCATGCTGGTGATTTGATTTGATGATTTGACCTAGTGATTTGAGGCTTGTGACTTGAACTAGGGTCTTGCGAGCGTGTTTGCTACCGGGGTACAGCCCTAGTGTGCAGGGGAGAGCGAGGTGCCCGGTCGATTAGGTGGTTCGGCTTTTGTAGATCTATGCATTTTTTACGGAAAGCCCTATTACCTAACCCTATTACTAGATCTATTAGTGTTGTGAAAACTTCAACCTCTACAGCTCAGGCGTCAAAAGATGCTGGAAAATAATAATACGTCCTGAAGTTTCAAAATTTATTTTTATACAGAATAACACAGTTCACAGCCAGTAGTTTTTATTTCATCGAGTTATAAAAATGGCCTTCGTATAAAAATTGCCTTGTTTTCAGAAGCAAATTTTAATAGTTCTAGTTCTACCGAATCGATTTTCACGCGAATTCAACCATTTTGATGATCTTTCTTTTCCTTTTAAAAAGATGTAGATCTAGGCCTGTCGGATGTGGCAGTGCGAATAACACAGAGTTGTTTAGATCTAGACCCATCAAAACAGGAGGCTTCGTGGCCGATCACTAAAGTCTACGGGGCTTATCGAGGCCGATTCGCCCTGCTGCGAGCACGTTCACTAAACTGCCTACTAGATAGAATCTACTACCAAATATTCTCTACACGATCTTTGCTACTACTAGATCTACTACTAGGCCTACTAGCCTAAATGTACTACTACTTTTGTGTGTGTGTGTGTGCGTGTGTGTGTGTGTGTGTGTGTGTGTGTGTGTGTGTGTGTGTATGGTGTGTGTGTGTATGCATGTGTATGTGTGAGTGTGTCTGTGTGTAGTGGTGAGTGTGTAAATGGAGAGTGAGGAGTGTGT